GGGTAGTGCAGGAAGGCCTAGACAGCTGGTGGTAATAGGGGATTCTATAATCATAAGGACTGATAGAATAATTTGTCGCCAAGATCGCCTCAACCGAATGGTTTGCTGTCTCCCTGGTGCCAGGGTTCGGCATGTGGCGGACCGGGTTGATAAACTACTAGGAGGGGCTGGGCATGACCCAGCTGTCTTGGTCCATGTTGGAACCAATGACAGAATACATGGAAGGTGGAGGCTCCTTAAGAATGAATTTAAAGAACTAGGCTGCAAGTTGAAGGGAAGAAGGACCTCCAAGGCGCTATTCTCTGAAATATTACCTGTGCCATGCACAACTCAGGAAAGACAGGGGGAGATTAGAGAACTCAATGCATGGCTAAAGACCTGGTGTAAGAGGGAAGGATTTGGGTTTTTAGAGCACTGGGCTGCCTTTTCATTGGGGTGCAACCTATATGCTAGAGGCTGAAGGAGTATTTAAACTAGGATTAAGCGGGGGAGGGAAAATTATATTATAATGGGGCAGACAGATCAGACAGGGGTCAGTCCTTCTTGGTGGGTGGAATGGGTAAAAATGGGTGGAGGGCTGATAAGAAGGTTCCCATGCTACAAACAACCGTTGGAATTGGTACCATTTGTATGAAAATAAAAACTATGCAAAATACGTGTGCAAAAGGTGTCAATGAGTTAAAATGTTTGCTCACCAATGCCAAAAGTCTGCCAAGCAAAATAGGTGAGTTGGAAGCTTTGGTGCATGAAGAGAACTATGATTTAATTGGTATTGCTGAATCTTGGCTTCATTCGTCACATGACTGGGCCATTATTATTCCTGGCTATGTTCTCTTACGGAGAGACAGGGTAAATAGGAAAGGTGGGGGGTGTCTGTCTCTATGTGAGAAGTGATCTCAGAGCGAATGTGAAAGAGGACCTAGTTGATGGAGAGTGTGATGAGGCTGAGGTATTATGGGTGGAACTAGAGGCGGACTGACCATTTGGACACTCGGGCATTGCCCGAGGGCCCGGGGTCAGTAGGGGGCCCCATGAGATGCCCCTGGTACCTTTTTCATAGGCTATTTTGAGTTTGGGCAAGGACACAGGGGCCCCATGATCCCCTATTGTCCGGGGGCCCCATGAGTTGTCAGTCCACCCCTGTTTGGAACTGCACATGGGGGGTGTGTACTACAAAGGTAATCATTGGAGTTTGTTGTAGGTCTCCCAGTGTTAATGAGGAGGTGGAGACTCAGCTCCTTGCACAGACCGAAAGGGCTGCAAGGGCTGGGACAGTGATAATAATGGGGGATTTTAACTACCCGGAAATTGACTGGAGTAATGGTACTGCAGGAACAGTTAAAGGGCAAAAATGTATAAGCCTACTATAAGACAATTTTATGGCACACTTCATAGAGGCCCCCAGTAGGAATGATGCTCTGCTGGACCTGGTAATGTCAAACCGTGCAGAGCTTATTACGAATGTCCATATAAAAGAACATCTGGGTAGCAGTGACCATAACATGATTTCATTTATTGTTAGCTGTAAACATCAAGCACATACGGGAAATTTTAAAAATGCTCAACTTTAAGAGAGCTAATTTTCCAAGGCTGAGAGCTGCTCTCCAAGACTTAGACTGGGAGAGAATATTGGTATTGATGAACACAACACAGAAATGGGAGTTTTTCAAAGAGACTGTATGTGAACACACTATTATTATTATTATTATACAGTATTTATATAGCGCCAAAGGATTTGCTCAGCACTGAACATTAGCGAGGGGGACAGAACATGAGACAATACAGTACAGTACAATACAATACACGAGGGGTTTGAGGGCCGTGCTCTTTCGAATTTACAATCTGGGACACTACAAAATATATTCCCATGGGCAACAACTTTAAAAGGCTAAAAATTAAACCTATGTGGCTTACAGCCAAAGTTAAAAAAGCTATAGATAATAAGAAAAATGAAGGAATGCTATCATCATTTAAACATTACAAAGAATATAACAGAATATGTAAAAAGGAAATAAAGGCCTCAAAAATTGAAAACGAACAACAAATTGCAAAAGATAGCAGGACAAACTCCCAAAATTTCTTCAAATATATTAATAGTAAAAAGGTTCGGTCTGAGCATATAGGCCCTTTACAAAATAATCTAGAGAGGGTGACTGGGGACAAAGAGAAGGCAAATTTATTAAATACCTTCTTCAGCTCTGTGTATACAAAGGAGCATGGGGGAGCTCTTGTCCATAATGGGCATGGTATTGACACAGCTCCAGATGATCCACATTGGCTCACAACTGATATGATCCAAAAATATTTAGACAGTATAAAAGTGAATAAAACACCTGGACTGGATGGCATACACCCACGGGTCCTTAAAGAATTGAGCTCTGTCATTTCAAAGCCATTGTTTCTAATTTTTAGGGACTCTTTAATGACTGGCATAGTACCACTGGATTGGCGTAAGGCCAATGTGGTGCCAATATTTAAAAAGAAGTCAAAATCTTTACCAAGTAATTATAGACCTGTTAGTTTAACTTCTATAGTAGGGAAGATACTGGAAAGTTTAAAAAAAAAAAACATATAAATGAGCTCTTTCTGGAAAAAAATATTTTAAGCAACAGACAGCATGGATTCATGAAAGACAGAAGTTCTCAAACAAATCTGATTTCTTTTTATGAGGAGGTGAGCAAAACCTTGGACAGAGGGGTGGCGGTGGACATGGTATACTTGGACGGGGGTGGTGGTGGACGTGGTATACTTGGATTTTGCAAAAGCGTTTGACACAGTTCCCACACACACAGCTAATGTGTAAGGTAAAGTCTATGGGCTTGGAAAAATCCGTATGTAAATGGATAGAAAACTGGCTAAAAGATCGTATTCAGAGAGTAGTGGTTAATGATTCATACTCTGAATGGTCTAGGGTTGTCAGTGGTGTACCCCAAGGTTCAGTGTTGGGCCCTTACTTTTAATATATTTATAAACGATATAGGGTCTGGAATTAGAAATCCCATTTCAGTCTTTGCAGATGACACCAAGCTGTGCAGTGGAATAACGTCCTTACAGGATGTCTCCAACTTACAAGCCGACCTCAATGTACTGTTTAATTGGGCAAATATGTGGCAAATGAGGTTTAATGTTGATAAATGTAAGGTTCTGCACTTGGGGGCTAAGAATATGCATGCATCATACATACTAGGGGGGTACAACTAGGGGAATCAATAGTGGAGAAGGATCTGGGAGTTCTGGTAGATCACAAGCTTAATATTGGCATGCAATGCTAAGGTGCTGTTTCTAAAGCGAGCAAAATCCTCTCTTGTATTAAAAGAGGTATAGACTCCAGAGAGAGAGATATCATATTACCCCTATACCAGAGGTGTCCAAACTATGGCCTTCCAGGTGTTGAGGAACTGCAAGTCCCATGAGGCCTTGCAAGACTCTGACATCCACAGGCAAGACACCCAGAGGCAGAGGCATGATGGGACTTGTAGTACTTCAACAGCTGGAGGGCCGTAGTTTGGACACCTCTGCCCTATACGAATCATTAGTAATACCTCATCTGGAATATGCAGTTCAGTTTTGGGCACCAATTCACAAAAAGAACATTGGGGAACTGGAGAAAGTACAGAGTATAGATTCCCAAGAGTTGGTTCTGGCCAGCTCAGTGGATTGCTTTAAAAAAAAAGCCTGGATTCTTTTTTAGATATACAGAATATAACTGGATACTAACATTTATAGGTAAAGTTGATCCAGAGAATATCCGATTGCCTCTCGGGAGATCAGGAAGGATTTTTTTCCCCTGCAGGAGCAAATTAATTGTGTTTTGCTGGAGTTTTAATTTTGCCTTCCTCTGGATCAACTGTGGGTATATATAGGATTATAACTTTTTTCTTTTTTTTTTGGTTGAACTGGATGGACTTTGTCTTTTTTCAACCAGACTAACTATGTAACTAAGCATTTGTAAGCAACAGGAATTTTACAAAAGGAGGTACGGAGAAACTGGAAATTGTCAACAGCAGTCTAAAGCTCTATTTTGTGGCTTGATATAAAAATGTGAAATATTTATGTACAATATATCATATTTACTCAAGTTGTGTCACGCGTTAATGTGCGTTGTGTAACATGGAATATTAATTTAAATGGGCTGCCAACGCACAGGAACAGAACAAAAACAAGCAGCATTTTTTTTTGAAGCACAGGACTGCTGCCTTTGTGAATTGGCTTCTGAGGACATTCCACTGGGACGTGTCAGGCAGGATTGGTCCATGACATCAGCACACTACTGGGAAGAGTTTTGGTAAAGCTGTCGGGCAAGCTGAATGACTGTAGTGAGTGCAGTGAGACCAGGGATGAAAGCACAGATGCCATTACGCACAGTATTACAAGTTCTGTTTGCACGAGTACTGTTTTCAGGTCAATAAACTTTATTTTATGTGAAGAGCTTTAAATGGTCCTCATGTCTTTTTTGAGCAATTGTTGTATATGGTACAAGCTGCATTAGGGGGATGTCTCCCTAAGAGGAGGATTTTGTGCATTAGCTGGCATTCCAAAAGGGAAATGTGATGGATGGCTTGGCTATAATGATGATGGCAAGTGTTTATTGACCTTCTATATATACACTATGTTGTCAAAAGTATTGGGACACCTGCCTTTACACGCACATGAACTTTAATGGAATCCCAGTTTTAGTCCATAGGGTTCAGCTTTGAGTTGGCCCACCCTTAGCAGATATAACAGATTCAACTCTTCTGGGAAGGCTGTCCACAAGGTTTAGGAGTGTGTCTATGGGAATGTTTGAACATTCTTCCAGAAGCACATTTGTGAGGTCAGGCATTGATGTCGGACAAGAAGGCCTGGCTTGCAGTCTCCACTCTGATTCATTCAAAAGGTGTTCTATCGGGTTTAGTTCAGGACTCTGTGTAGGCCAGTCAAGTTCCTCCACTCCAGACTCGCTCACCCATGTCTTTATGGACCTTTATTTGTGCACTGGTGTGAAGTCATGTTGAAACAGGAAGGGGCCATCCCCAAACTGTTCCCACAAAGTTGGGAGCATGAAATTGTCCAAAATGTCTTTGTATGCTGATGCCTTAAGAGTTCCCTTCACTGGAACTAAGTGCGAAGCCCAACCCCTGAAAAACAACCCCACACCATAATCCCCCCTCCACCAAACTTTATACATGGCACAATGCAGTCAGGCAAGTACCGTTCTCCTGGCAACCGCCAAACCCAGACACCTGATTAGTCACTCCAGAGAACAAGTCTCCACTGATTTAGAGTCAGGTGGTGGTATGCTTTACACCACTGCCTCCGACACTTTACATTGCACTTGGTGATGTAAGGCTTGGATGCAGCTGCTCGGCCATGGAAACCCATTCCATGAAGCTCTCTGTCCACTGTTGTTGTCCTAATCTGAAGGCCACATGAAGTTTGGAGGTCTTTAGCTATTGACTCTGCAAACAGTTAACGACTTCTGTGCTTCAGCATGCGTTGAGCCTGCTCTGTCATTTTATGAGTTGCTGTTGTTCCCAGTTGCTTCCACTTTGTTATATTACCACTAACAGTTGTCCATGGGCTATTTAGTAGCAATGAAATTTAATGGATGGACTTATTGCACAGGTGGAAACCTGTCACGGTACCATGCTCGATTCACTGAGCTCCTGAGAGCGACCCATTCTTTCAAAAATGTTTGTAGAAGCAGTCTGCATGCCTAGGTACTTGATTTTATACACCTGTGGCCATGAAGGTGATTGGAACACCTGAATCCAATGATTTGGAGGGGTGTCACAATACTTTTGGCAATATAGTGTATACCGTGAATATAAAAAGTCTACACACCCCTGTTAAAATGTCAGGTTTCTGTGATGTAAAAAAATGGGACAAAGATAAATAATTTCAGAACATTTTCCACCTGTAATGCAATCTATAAACTGTACAACTCAGTTGAACAAAAAACTGAAATCCTTTAGGTGGACAGAAGTAATAAAAACTAAAATAATATGGTTGAATAAGTGTGCACCCCCCTAAACTAATACTTTGTTGAAGCACCTTTTGATTTGATTCCAGCACTCAGTCTTTTGGGCTATGAGTCTATCAGCATGGCACATCTTGATTTGGCAATATTTGCCCACTCTTCCTTTCAAAAACACTTCAAATCTGTCAGATTGCAAGAGCATCTCATGTGCACAGCCCTCTTCAGATCACCCCACAGATTTTCCATCGGATTCAGATCTGGGCTCTGGCTGGGCCATTCCAAAACTTTAATCTTCTACTGGTGAAGCCATTCCTTTGTTGATTTTGGATGTATGCTTTGGGTCTATCACATACCTGGTGATGGAGGCCAATGGAGAGAGGGCTTCCCTTGCGGTTAAGTTCTGGACTCCCCTGAGAGTGGGACAGCGGGAGTCTGGCCCAAAGTTGCACACGTCACCTGTAGGAGTGCTGGTTGGTGGTCCACTCAGAAGCACAGCTGGTGCACGGAGATAGGTCTGCAGACAGGAGGCGCCTGTGCGTGGTATGCAAGCCCTTCCGGGATTTGGATGTTTACTGCATAGTCGGTTCAAGCAAAGATCAGGTACCAGGTGGGAATCAGAGCGGTGTTAGTCAGATGGGATAGCCGAGGTCATTCACAGAGGAGCGAGAGAGAGAGAGAGTATCCCTAAGCCAAGCCGAGGTCAGATCAGGGGTAAATCAGAGGAAACAGGAACAGGGTACGGGGAGCTAGAGATCATCCAGCAACCAGAGGAAGTGATGAGCCTCCTTATAAAGGCCGTCTGGCACCAGACTGAGGCTGATGTGTACTTCTGCGGCCATGTAGAGTATTGGCAGAAATGCCAGATCTTCCAGAACTCCTGCAGTGGACAGGACCCTGACAAGGTCGTTATGTTGAAAGATGAAGTTCATCTTCTTGTTCAGCTTTGTAGCAGAAGCCTGAAGGTTTTGTGCCAATATTGACTGATATTTGGAACTGTTCATAATTCCCGCTATCTTGACTAAGGCCCCAGTTCCAGCTGAAGAAAAACAGCCCCCAAAGCATGATGCTGCCACCACCATGCTTCACTGTGGGTATGATGTTCTTTTGGTGATGTGCAGTGTTGTTTTTGCACCAAACATCTTTTGGAATTATGGCCAAAAAGTTCAACCTTGGTTTCATCAGACCAGAACACATTTTCCCACATGCTTTTGGGAGACTTCAGATGTGTTTTTGCAAAATGTAGCTGGGCTTGGATGTTTTTCTTCGTAAAGAAAAGGCTTCCGATTTGCCACTCTACCCCATAGCCCAGACATATGAAGAATACGGGGGGATTGTTGTCACATGTACCACACAGCCAGTACTTGACAGATATTCCTACAACTCCTTTAACCACTTGCCGACCGCAGATAGCCAAATGACAGCTTCACCGTGGCTAGCCAGTTCTGGAAGGGCGTTATTTGACGTCCTCCCAGAACACGCCCTCCCGCGCACCCCCCGGCAATCTCCATGATTGCTGTGTCCTACGGACACAGCTAATCATGTGATGTGGTAAAAGGCCAATCACAGCAGCCTTTTACCACATGATCAGCTGTGTCCAATAACACAGCAGATCACTGGTAAATGCAGTTGCCGGTTATCGGCTGCACTTTCCTCAGGCTGTCACAACGTGAGGAAAGTACTACCAATAACCAGCAATTGTCAGAAGACGGATTGGCACCGATCATCAGTGCCCTGATGATCAGTGCCCAGCAGTGCCACCCACCAGTGCCACCCATCTGTGTTCAGCAGTGCCGCCCACAAGTGCCACCTATCAGTGCCCATCAGAGCCGCCTATCAGTGCAGCATAATCAGTGCCACCTCATCAGTGCCACCTATCAGTGCCCATCAGTGCTGCCTCATCAACGCATATCAGTGAAGGAGAAAAATTACCTGTTTGCAAAACTGTATAATAGAAACAAAGAAAAACTTTTTTTTTTTTTCAAAATTTTTGCTGTTTTTGTTTATAGCGCAAAAAATAAAACACCCAGCGGCGAGTAAATACCACCAAAATAAAGCTCTATTTGTGTGAAAAACTGATAATTTCATATGGGTACAGTGTTGCATGACCGTGCAATTGTCATTCAAATTGCGAAAGCACTGAAAGCTGAAAATTGGCATGGGCAGGAAGGGAGTATAAGTGCCCGGTAGGCAAGTGGTTAATGTTGTTGTAGGCCTCTTGACGGCCTCCCAGACCAGTTTTCTCATCTTTTCATCAATTTTAGAGGGACGTCCAATTCTTGGTAATGTCACTGTTGCGCAATATTTTCTCCACTTGATGACTGTCTTCACTGTGTTCCAGGGTATATCTAATGCCTTGGAAATTCTTTTGTACCCTTCTCCTGACTGATACCTTTTAACAAAGAGATCCTTCTGATACTTTGGAAGCTCTCTGGGGATCATGACTTTTGCTGTAGGATGTGACTAAGAAAATGTCAGGAAAGACCTACTATCTCCTAGATTGTAAGCTCGAAAGAGCAGGGCCCTCGATCCCCTCATGTTTTGCATTGTATTGTTATTGTTCTGTCACATGTTCTGTTCCCCTCTGTAATGTACAGCGCTGAGCGAACTATTGGCGCTTTATAAATACTGTATAATAATAATAATAATAATAACAGCTGAACATTATTTGGGGTTAATCAGGGGCACTTTAAAATGATGGCAGGTGTGTACTGACTCCTATTTAACATAATTTTGAATGTGATTGCTTAATTTTGAACACAGCTACATCCCCAGTTATAAGGGGTGTGCACACTTATGCAACCACATTATTTTAGTTTTTTATGTTTACTTCCCCCCCTAAAAGATTCTGGTTTGTTTTTCAATTGAATTGTACAGTTTATAGGTCACATTAAAGGTGGCAAGTTCTGAAATTATTTATCTTTGTCTAATTTTTTTACACCACAGAAACCAGACATGTTAACAGGGGGTGTGTAGACTCTTTATATCCACTGTATGTCATATTGTGACAGTGAGTGCTTTTTTTGCATGTGTGATGATCACACTGAATGAAGAGCTCTTTGGATTAATATTTAAGAATGCATTGCTTTTATGGCCACTTTAATGAATTTTAAAGAGTTTATACGTTTGTGACACTTTTGGAGTGAAGTGGAGTGCTATTTAAAGTGTTTTTTTTATGTTGCAGCCTGATATTACAGTTGTTTAAAGTAATTTTTTTCTCATTAACCCTTTCGTTGCCAGAGCCATTTTTGCATACACATTTAAAAAATCATTTTTGGTCTGAAGATTACACAAAACACCCAAACATTATATATTTTCTGAAAGCAGACACCCATTTAGGTTCATACATCTGTATATGTGGGGGTGGGGGGCCTCAAAATCTTTTTTGGGGGGGATTTAATGTGGTTGGGTGTAACTTTTTTTTTTTTTTTGCAATAAAAAAAAAATTTTTGGGCTTAATTTTTTTCATCACATAGGGAACACAAAGTATGTTTGATGTTTGCAAAAAAGCACCTGCAGGACTCAGACTGTGAGGAACAAGATTCTCTGGTCTAATATAACCAAGATTGAACTGTTTGGCCTCAGTTCTAAATGTTATGTCTGGAGGAAACCAGGCATTGCTCAACCATCCCAACAGTGAAGCATGGTGGTAGCATCATGCTGTGGGGGTGTTTTTCAGCAGCAGGGATTGAAGAGACTGGTCAGGGTTGAGGGAAATTTGAATGTAGCAAAAGTACAGAGATAAACGTGTTCCACAGCACTCAGGACCTCAGACTAGGTGGAAGGTTCACCTTCCAACATGACAGCAATCCTAAGCACACAGCCAAGACAACACAGGGAGTGGCTTAGGGACAACTCTGTAAATGTCCTAGAGTGGCCCAGCCAGAGCCCTGACTTGTTCCATATTGAACAACTCTGGAGAGACCTGAAAATGGCTGTCCATTGATGGTCCCCATTCATCACGACTGGGCTTGAGAGGATTTCAAAGAAGAATGGCAGAAAATTCCCCAAACCAGGTGTGCAAAGCTTGTTACTTCATACCCAGAAAGACTTGTGACTGTAATGGTGGCGAAAGGTGCTTCAACAAAGTACTAAGTAATGGGTCTGAATATGTACATGTGTAATTTAAATTTTTTCTTTTTAATAAATTCATGTACATTTCTAAAATTCTGTCTTCACATTGTCATTATGGGGTACTGAGTGTAGATTAATGAGAATTTTTTTTTAACCAACTGTAGTATCAGGCTGCAACACAACATTGGAAAAAGTGAAGGGGGTCTAAATACTTTATGAATGCACTGTATGTGTATCTAATATATGTAACACATGTTGGGACAGCATGCTAGTTACAACAAAGTACCCAATTGCAAAAGTGTGTTTCAGCCCTAAACATTGGTAGTTTTCATTGACAAATAAGAAATTGCTACCACATCATATTGTCCCATCCTTATCTTCATGCTAAATCATTTCAGCCAGGGATTTAGCAAACAATCCATCAACTGGCGTCTGAGGTTAGTGACAGACTTCCACCTACCATATAATTACCATTGTATTGTGTTACAGCAGCATGAAATGAATGCTATGTGCCCAGCGTGTTTCACTACTCCTGCTGATATCCATTGCAGTTATTCACTCCTGTTCTTCATTTACTGCTTTTCTTAAAGTGAAACTGTTGACCATTTAAAACAAAAAGTCCAGCTTAAC